ACAATATTCATGAAACTCCACAAAATTATTGTTATTTACTATAGTAGTATTTACTCTGAATTCGAAAAGAAATCATTGACTCCCTTATAAGAATATGACATGCTTCCTCCGCCCCAAAACCTTCTCCGTACTTAGCAATTTTGGTATCCCAAATGCATCTTCTCATTACTTTTTAGAAGTTTTTAAAAAGTGAATACATTATCACTCAACTAACCAAATAGATTATACCCCTCATTTGTTAAATAGTCAATTAGTCTTTTTCCAAACAAATACCACTTTCCAAACTACTCTTGAAAGCCGTGTATTTTCACATGGACTCTTTGGGGGGGGGGTCATATATTTTAGTTATATCTAGTGCAATTTATACTGACAAAAATTGCTCGTCTAATGGTCTAACATATGTATTTGTTCTTGGATGTATAGATACGCGAATACCATAGACGGAATCTTGGTGCACGTGTTCTTGACACCAGTGATGAGTATGAACAACTTCTCAAGCATGAACAACAAATTACGTTTAGTGGGGAAGTGAGTGCTTTTACAATACTTGCAATTATTTGTGCATGCATTTGCATTTGGATGACTTGTGGCAGCACTTCAGTGCCCAAATCCTTTAGAGAGTAATAATTTGCTCTACCATTATAGATTTTATAGTAGTATTTGTTGTTCACAAAAAGAAATAATGATTTAGAACAAGATAGGATTGTGAAGGATCTATACAGAAAAGCTTCTATAAGAGATTCCTGTTATGGATTTATTACCAAAATTTGCAGTAAAAATGTAGGAGCAGCTGATACTGTCTAGGGAGTAAAGTTTTCAAATTGGAAAAAGCATTTAGTCAGATTGAACTTATGCCAATTCTGAGATTTTTGTTTGTTTGCAGTTGTAGTTAAGTTTTTAGCTTTCCCTATGCAAGCTCCATAGTCCACAGAGAGGGACCGATTCATAGATGTAAGAAATTACGAATGACTTCTGTAATGGGAGAATGTGTTGAATTTGGACCAACAATCAATCTGTTTTTTTTCATTTTCTGCCCATCTCCTTATAATTTATTAAATTACCATCTCCATTGTGTGTACAATTCGACATGCGTAAGGATTCTAAAAGTACTCTGCCGTTGTCTAATGGTAACACCCGATAACATTAATCCTATGTATGTATGTATGTATGTATGTATGTATGTATGTATGTATGTATGTATGTATGTATGTATGTATGTATGTATGTATGTATGTATGTATGTATGTATGTATGTATGTATGTATGT